GCGGAGGTGAAGAAGAAGAAATGTGGTGAATGAATTGTGATTTTTTTTTTTTTGGGGGGGAGGGCATGGGAGGAGGAGAAGGGGAGGAGGAAGGGAGGAGGAGGAGGGGAATTAGGAGGGGGGGAAGGGGGGAAGAAGATAAGATGCGGTGAATGTAATTGTGATTTTTTTTTTTTTGGCGGGGGAGGCCATGGAGGAGGAGATGAAGGAGGATGAAGGGGAGGAGGAGGAGGGGAAGGAGGAGGGGGAAAACGGGGGAAGAAGAAGATGCAGGTGATAAATTGTGGATTGTTTTTAGGGAGAACTTGGGGAAAGGGTGGAGAGGAAGGAGGGATGAGAAGAAGAGAGGGGATGGGAGAAAGGAGGAGAGGGGAACGAGGGATAAAAGATTGTAGTGAAATTGAATTCGCAAAGATGTTTTTTTTGTTTTTCTAGGGGGGGGGGGTTGAAGAGGAGGAGGAGAGGGGAAGGAGGAGAAGGAGAGAGGAGAGGAAAAGAGGGAGTGGGAAAGGAAGAAAGACGATGCGGTGAAATGAGTTTGTGATTTTTATTTATTATCGATTTATTTATTTTATTTTTTATATTTTTTTTTATGATCTATTATTTATTTTTTTTTGTTTTTTGAGGGGAGGGGAGAGGGAGGAATGGAAGGAAGAGAGGAGAAGGAATAAGAGGAGTAGGGGGAAAGGAGGAGGGGGAGGTGGAGGGAGGAGAGAAAGAGATTAATGATAGAGGGAAGAGTAAGAAATGTGGGGAGGAGGGGAAGGAGGGGAAGGAGGAGGGGGAGGGGAGGGGTAGATGGAGGAAAAAACGAAAAAAAAAAAGGAAAGATAGAGATGAAAAATAAAAAAGATAAAAAAGGTAATAGTTTTAAAAATAAGAACAAAACCAACAAGAGAAAAAAAAACGAAAAAGACAAAAATAAAAAAAAAAGAAGAGAAAGAGAATAGAGAACAAAAAAACAAAACAAAAAAAAAAAAAAAAAAAAACAAAGAGATACACACAGACCAAAAAACCATACCCACACCGCACACACCAACATAAATAAACGAATAAATAGACAAACACGATAAAAACGGAAAAGGGAGAAGAGAAGAGAAGACTCCAAATACTAAATGAGTCGGAAAAATATCCAAGGAAAAAAAAACGTCTTGGAAGGAGTTCAGACCAACCCCCGTCCGCGCTCCTCATTACAAGGATAACGAAGGAGGAATAGGCAAAGGGACGATAATGAAAGGAGAAGAGAAGAGGGAATGAAGGAAAAATAGCAAAGGAGCGATAATGAAAGGAGAAGAGAAAGGGATAAGAACGGAACACGAGGAGGAATAGGCAAAGGGGCGATAATGAAAGGAGAAGAGAAGAGGGAACGTAGGAGGAATAGGCAAAGGGACGATAATAAGAGAGAGAAAGGTAAGCGAAGGAGGAATAGGCAAAGGGGCGATAATGAAAGAGAGAGGAGAGGGAACGAAGGAGGAATAGGCAAAGGGACGATAATGAAAGGAGAAGAGAAGAGGGAACGAAGGAGGGAATAGGCAAAGGGACGATAATGAAAGGAGAAGAGGAGAGGGGTAAGAATAGTGGAATGGATAACGAAGGAGGAATAGGCAAAAAGGGAGAAATGATGAAAGGAGAAGAGAAGAGGGGTAAGAATAGTGGGAATGGACAAACGAAGGAGGAGTAGGCAAAGGGACGATAAATGAAAGAAGAGAAGAGGTAACGAAGGAGAATAGGCAAAGGGAAACGATAATGAAAGGAGAAGGGAGAGGGATAAGAATAGTGGAATGAATAAGGAAGGAGGAATAAGGCAAAAGGGAGGATAATGAAAGAGAAGAGAAAGAAAGGGATAAGAAACGGATAACGAAGGATGAATAAGCAGAGGACTTATAATGAAAGAGAAGAGAAGAGGGAATGAGGAGGAATAGGCAAAGGACGATAATGAAGGAGAAGAGAAGAGGAAACGAAGGAGGAATAGGCAAAGGGACGATAATGAAAGGAGAAGAGAAGAGGGAACGAAAGGAGGAATAGGCAAAGGGACGATAATGAAAGGAGAAGAGAAGAGGGGGAACGAAGGAGGAATAGGCATAATGAATAGAGGAGAAAGAAGAGGGAACGAAGGAGGAATAGCAAGGGAAACGAGTAAGATAAGGAGAAGAGAAGAGGGAACGAAAGGAAGGAATAAGGAAAAGGGAGGATAATAAAAGAGAAGAGAAGAGGTACGAAGAGAATAGGCAAAGGGAGGATATGAAGAAAAGAGAAAGAGGTAACGAAGGAGAATAGGCAAAGGAGGAATAATGAAAGGAGAAGAGGAAGAGGGGTAAGAATAGTGGAATGAAAACGAAGGAGGTTGGGCAGAGGGACGATAATAAAGGAGAAAAGAGAAGAGGAACGAAGGAGGGAATAAGGCAATAGGGACGATAATGAAAGGAGAAGAGAAAAGGGATAAGAAACGGACAACGAAGGAGGAAGAATAAGCAAATGGGGGCGATAATGAAAGAGAAGAGAAGAGGGAACGAAGAGGATGAATAGGCAAAGGGACGATAATGAAAGGAGATAGGAGAGGGTAAGAATAGTGGAATGGACAATCGAAGGAGGAATGAAGTGAAGGGACGATAATGAAAAAGAGAGAAGAGGGAACGAAAGGAGGAATAGGCAAAAGGGACGATAAATGAAAGGAGAAGAAAGGAGGGAAGAAGGAGGAATAGGCAAAGGGACGATAATGAAAGGAGAAGAGGAGAGGAAGCGAGAACGAGGAGGAATAGGCAAAGGGACGATAATGAAAGGAGAAGAGGAGAGGGGTAAGAATAGTGGAATGGATATGGATAACGAAGGAGGAATAGGCAAATGGACGATAATGAAAGGAGAAGGAGGAGGGTAAGAATATGGAACGGACAACGAGAAGGAGGAATAGGCAAAGGGGCGATTAATGAAAGGAGAAGAGGAGAGGGATAAGAATATGAAATGAATAAGCGAAGGAGGAATAGGCAAGAGGGACGATAAATGAAATGGAGAAGAGAAAGAGGGAAACGAAAGGAGAAATATAGCGAAGGTAGGATATATGAAAAGGAGAAGGGAAAAGGGATAAGAAACAGGACAACGAAGGAGGAATAAG